ACTAGTTACTGACTACTATATAAACAAAATACCTAAGGATCTATTTCATCCAGTGTTCAAATTGTTTCAGATGAAGAACCACCACCTGAAAGATAGAACTGTCTGCTGGTTAAGGTGCATTGCTGACGGGCATTTGTCTGTGTGCCAGTGCTGTGACTGTAAGTTTTAGATGGTGGTAATGGTCAAAAGCTGAACATTGCTTTCCTCCTTACTGTCTTTGTATACTCATATGTCTAACACCGTTTTGATGAAGTAGACTTATCAAAAAAGGTCGGATTATTGTAATCTATCTTTTATAATTTTGAATATCATTCCAAGGTACCAAAAGGCGTAATAAATTACTGAAATTTCAAAAATCGAAGACTCAGGACAATGTATCCAAACATACAAAGACCACTTCTTAAAATTGTCTTGTTCTGAGATTAGTATGTTTAACGTAACAGCTGGCTAGGAGTGTCAAGGCAATAATAAGTTTCAAACTTATCTGGTAGTTGTGCAGCTCTGACACATTCTAGTTGCAAAGTAGTCCACGGGCCAGTAACATTCTGAAGAAATATATTTACCATCTGATATTTGGAATGTGGTGTTTGTGACGATATAACACATCTGTATGATGTTAGTTGCCCAGCATGCTGATGTTGTCACACTTGGTGCTGATTTGCTAACTATTTTAGAACATATGTCTCTAGCCTATTCATCTCCATGCAGTCATTCTCACTGCGACGTCCGTTTAATGTGGGTAAAAGTTGTTCGAAAGTCTTGCTGTTTAACAAGGGACTATGCACTTGTCTGTTTATCCTGATCGTTTAATCAACCATGCAATTAATTTCTATTGTTTACCAGATTTCGGTGACTTATATAGTATAAAGCATCAGAAATAGACCTGAATCAACCATTTTGAGCTGATTTTCCACAGAGCTATACTTTGACCGGACTGTGGTTTGCGATATGTAACAATCTTTTTGGAAAGATGAACTTCAGTAGGTATCAGAACAAGATTTATTGTCAGTTCACTATGATTGATGTCTCTCAATGTTAATTAGGTCTCAAGCATCCGATGATTCTATAGTGTTCGCACGACTTAAGATTGTTGACAAAGAAGACTTTCTTGACTCAGCACAATTTTCGCTAGCCACTAAATAAAATAACGCATAACTGAACCAGTAAATATCTGTTACTCCTCTAGGAGTCTTAGCATTGGGTATTTTTGCCTGATACTATTAATTGCCCTTTTGTAAAATGTCGCTTCCTCGCAAGTTTCTATATCTCAGTGAAAGTTATTGATTTCATATTTAGGTATGACTAAAACGACGTGGATGTATGTTCTCATGTATGTTAGTTAAATTACTGCATAGAATGTGTTCATCTACCTAGAGATCATGGGTTTATTTTATTTGAAGAATTAGGGAAGATATACCTTAATATTTTGTCCGTCTAAAACAAAGTGCGACATTTCAATCAGTCCGGTTTTTCAGTGTACTAAAACGAAGAATTAAAAGTAGTTTAAGTATATATATTACTGACTAAGGAAATGTTAACGTGACGTTATCTAGATCTAATTAAATTCTATTAGTCAAGTTAGCAGTGTGTTCACAATAGTCCGGAACACTTAGCAGTAACGCTTACTTAAAATCGATGCTGAACGGCCTGAAGAACGTAGATTTCGCTCTTGTTGGTACTCGTCAGGAAAGTGTATCTGCTTCCTGTGTCTAATTGCCGAACTGTTGCCACTCGTTGGGAATGCGGATTCCTAACTCATTACTAGATGAATCTTGCAGGTAAGATGTACTGATACTGTGGCACGACTGAGCTCCAATCTAACACATTGGTAAATAGCAAGACTTTACATCGGCTCCTAGGGATCCAGTTTTCAAGAAAAGAAATATTTGCGTCGGTCATTTCTTCAATGACTTGATCTTTGCGCCCTGCAGATGAATCTGTGAATACCATTATTAAGTGCATACGTAGAGTTATATTCGAAGCTATTAAAACTGTTGAAAGAAAGAACTGCGTATTTAATGTTGGGTTTGATATAAATGTGAACATACTGGCCGCATAGTTGTAAGACTATGCAGTTGATGCACATGTTCGTGAATCTACGACAGAAAAATCCAGGTTCTAAATAGGAAGTTCTAATCAGTGGGATGGGAGACCAGCACTTGAATGGGATTAAAGGAAAGCGTTTTCATAACTCCTAATTTCGAGTACGTAGCCCATTTTTGACATCTATTTATACTGCTTTTCGTAATTTGTCAGCATTTAGAGAAGAACCTCTAGAGCTGCGATGTGCCTGTACGAGGACTATGAGGTCACTTGTTACTTAGGGAGAAAAGAACAAGAAGCCTAGCAAAGAGATATCTTTTCGGTGATCTCAAAAAGCTGCATAAAAGCATCTTTATACATAGGTTCACATATTTACAGTTATTACTTAATTCAACGTGGTAACGAAGGAAGATTGTAGGAGACAATTTTGAACTTGATATAAGAGTGTGAATATAGGTCACGAAGGTTATACGGATAAAATTACATAGGAATAAAAGATAGTTGCTAATATGTGAAGTATTTTTTGACGAAAACATGTGAACGGGATCAGCATAGAAACAAATTGAAAGGATTGTTTCATAAAAAAAATAACTTAGAAGCCAAACAGAACTGGACGTATGGTAATTGTAAAGGTTGGGCTAGCTTCATTTGAACACAGCTCCGGCTGCTTGATGAATATGATGAGGAATTCTGCTAACCAAAGAAGCCGGAAATACACTACCTCCAGTAGACTTTTGTTTACTTTGTAATTGATAGTTGTTCACTTATAGCACCTATGACAGAACCAGTCCCACCACTCTTTGTCTATATAGGATGGTGTTCTCTAACACGTCTTGAAAGGACGCACATAGAACGATGTGATTTTGGGATCAATCTTATAGTAACTACTGGACAAAACTAACATTTCGACGGTTGTATGTGGTTTAGGCGGCAACGGACAAATATATGTGCTCCATGCACAAATTCCCTTTTATGAGATTGAAAACAATTCGACTCACTTTGATGATATCTTGTCAGCTGTTTGCAACATGAAATATCAAGGTATAAATTTATACGGGAACTTAACAAAATATAATCGCTTTCAGTCATGACATTGATTCTGCAGAAGATTAACGAACTACACGATATTGAGACTTGGAGTGCGAGATTGCTAACTTCAGTAATTCAGTAAACCGCAAAACACAATTCGTTTGTATCAATTCGGAGTATATGAGTACCTTAAGTTTCAATGGAAATAAGAGTCAAGGAAAAGAATTACTAGTGTTTGTCTTTTGAAAACAAATCAGTTTTTACGTTGATGAACTCCATGAAACCTCAGAATTTCTAACTTGTTTTGAAAGGATTTAGGCGTGATATTCGCTCATAGGCACCTACACGAATTGGTGCACAGACTGGACGCCTGTTGATTTAGCTAACAAACTTAGTCTATAATACACTGAAGTAAAGTGATTGAATATACTAACTAGCACTATCTGAAGCTGCATGTACTCGTAAAACCACCACCTATGAAGTCGGGACAAATGAATATAGAATTCTCATTAAGTATAAGCTATCTTCAAGCTTTCATCTTAACCTTGTTCACACTTGTTGACTTGCGTTGTTTCCTAGACACTTAGTGATGATAATCAGATCTTCTGAAAACTTGTTTAAGGAGCATATCAATTTCTGCACGAGGTGTTTATATTCATCTAAAATCTGTTACAATTGAAAGGAATTGTATTCCACATGCTTTTCCGATAAGTTGATTGCTAAACTGTTATCTGTATTTCGTTGTCCAGATAACTGGACGTATCACTTCCATATTTCATATGTTCAATCCTGGTATGACTGTTATTCTGATGTTCTAAAAACCGATAGGCATACAGCGTTTAATTATCGCACACTAGAGTAGAGCACTGCCAACCTACGCGGTTTTAAATGTCACCTCTTTGTATTAAGCCCGAAGAAATTAACTAGTGACACGCCCATTGATTCCATAGTATCAATATGTTGATTTAAAATTAGACAACTCCGGTGCATATTGAGGTTCAAATCTTAGATTTTTAAAGCGCTGACATGTGAATTTTAGGGCTTCATGAAAACATACCTTCAAAACATAACACAACTAGTGTTACCATCTAATAACAATATCTTTATTCTGAACAGTATTTATTAGGTGTACAGAATTTTCAGAGGAGTTTATTGCATCATATTTTCTCTTCAAACAATTGCTTCAAGCAAATATTAATTGACAGTATATCCTCCCTGTGACACAATGGTCTCTGAGCTGAAGCACAAACCATTCCACAGTGGTATATCTGCTTTGTCTCCTTCAAAAAATCCACGATATCTAGTTATAACAGCCAATTGTAAGATGTTCAGAAGTACAATTGTGAGACTCAAGGACTCAAATGAAGAACAGTTATCTCATGTATTGGAATACATTGCCACCCACAATCACGCCTTTCCTCAAGTGTAGTAGGAACTTTCGAATCAGAAGCTCGTAAGCATTTTGAATACACATAAGAGTAGATAATACCACCAGGAATCATGTCCTAATCTATTGAAACAAACCGAACGAGAGCACCTATATGCAATAGAAAGATGAAAGTTTTTGGTAGCCCAAGTTTTAAGCAGGCTGCGGATTGTAAACATCACTCAGCGAATTCATCATACGAGTCGTTTATCGTATTTGCAGCGAACTGTCGACAAACAGATTTTATGTTTTCAGTCAACTAAGGATGTTGAAATGAATTAGTTACAGACTGCCAATTCTGTATTGTTGGTACATCATACATGTCAAACAATTGATATCCTCACTAATTCAGATCACTGCATACTTATCAGACAATTTCCCAACCACAAGCTGTCACGACATTTCTGTGATTCCTTTTTTTCTTTTAAATCGACAAACTATCAATGTGAGCTTTGGAGAAGTCAGTTCAAAATGTATTACTGACATCTCTGTTAGACAGACTGGCCCTATTGCTTGACTCTTGTACCTGATTTCGGTCATCCCAAATAACATTCTGAAGTATAAGTCTCGGACTGTAACGTGTATGAATATTTGGCACAAACAGCTGTAAGCGACGGCGGTCTTTAAGATGGTAAATTTCCATCTTGTGTCCTACAAGCTGTATCCTAGAGACTCATTATTTGACTGGATCGACATTGAGGAAACAAACTGTCCACTCGTTTACCCTCATGGTTGGTAATACGCTCTTCGCTCATCACCTAACTAGAAACTTGTCGCAAGGCACTTAATATTTAATATTACTGAATATTTATTAGTCTTGGAGGTCTCCATATAACGATTTTTCACATTCATCTAACTGGGCTTGTAAACAAATACACCCTTAAGACGTAAGCATTTACTTGACCCAGCTGGTATGGCGTAATGCAAAATTCTTATGATGAAGAGAACTACCAAATAATCACTCAGTACATAAACAGTGAGTTATGGAAAAAGAAATGACGTGAAATATATTATCACAAAATATCGATTTCATCTCATTTCAAAACTTTTAGTAAACGGTTTATATACTCGCATCGTTCTTCATCAGCTGGATCATTCAGCTTGTTAAGCTCATCAAAGTGTCGATGTAGCCAAGCAACGAAGGATTTGTCGAATGCTTCAGAATGAATAACTCCTTTGTCGCTGGAGCTAGTATCTAATGGACATAAGAGTACTGTTAAGCTGGCCAACAAATGTTCTTGAGGACGGTCCAAAAGACGCAAGAGATCTGCTAACTTGTGTGCAATAGTCAGAGAATCAGATGCTGAAACATAAATGTAACGTTTTAAAATTATGAACCATATATATATATATATATAAAATTTTATTTCGAATATATTTCGTTTACACAACTCAGTGATAGGGTATAACTTCACCATGATAGTAAATACCACCACATCAACTTGTACGCTTATTCTTACTTATGAACGTGAATACAGCAATGTATACCATTCCGCATGGAAAAAACCAATACTTGGATATCAATGGGATGCTCACTGGCGACTGGCCTTATTCAGGTAGTTACCTAGGGTTCCAGTGGGAGGTTGTGACCAGTAGGATGCAGCAGGTCGGGTGTGAGGACAAATACTCGCCGAAGACATTGGCTAGCGGTTGCGCTATATCGTGAATTGGCAGAAGTTAGAATTCATGGGCCATTCGATTGGGTCCCAGCTCAATGATCTACGAACTCGCCTTGTAACCAGAAGATCCTGGGTTCGAACCCCGGTGGGTACGTACTGCTGAAGAGTCCCAAACTCGGAAGAAACAGCTGTCCAGTACTCCCAAGGTTTTCCAATGGTTCTCTAACCAATGTCAGCTTATAATGAAATCCTGTAACCAATCAACCAAATCCCTACAAACCAATACTTGAATATAATATAAGAGTATTATATGTATGTAAATATTCATAAATAAAAGGTTATCAACCTATACATAAGGCTACTTCTCATAATTCAAGTTTGTTATGCCTTCTGAAAAACACTGCAACGTGTTAAGCATTCGCAATTAGAACTATTACTGATACAAAGAAGTAAAACTCTGTGGCAAATGGATGGGTCAGATATCAATTGCTGTAGCTGCTAGTCAGTGCAGAATTGAGGAATAACACCCGACATAGTAAGAAGAGATGGTCATTTCTCTTGAGAAAAAGTCTAGTCCATCGAATGGTAGTGTTAACCCAGTACTACAAACTATTGGCAAAATATTCTACTGGCATTAAATTTTCGCCAGCTGAAACGAAGAAAAACAACTTGAGTGGTTTAAATTATTCAATTTTAGTAAACACTACAATGTTTGGAAATTGCTCAAGTTATAGAAATTTTGCCGATTTTTAATTTTAAAAGACGTCTCTTCTGGTCATTTTTTGGAAAAAAACCGACAGGTAGAATTGATGTATTTCTTTTTAGAGAAGTGTATTAGTTTAACTGTGTGTCGGTGGCACAGCGATAGAATGCTCGCCGACTATGAATGTGGTCCGGGGTTCGATCCCCGGCCACCAACACACTCCTTTACCCCTTCCTGGTTGGGGCCCTCGGGACGGTAAAAACCAATGGTTGGAAACAATTGGTGGCATGGCTCAAAATCATTCTCAATCGCGCAGATGCATCTACTCTTTGTGACTTATGATTTCCAATGAAACTATATTGTTCTTTGTTATTACTGTTCCTTTGTCTCACACCTCTGTTTACTCTCTTTTATGCATTTCTTCTACTTTCGTCTCTTGTTTTGAGTGCTATACGGAGTGTGGCGACTTGAACTGCCGCACATATGTGCAAAGTTCTATGTCAAAAACAGACAAACAAGCCAGTTAAAAAAAGCTGGTAAAGAAGAAGGCTTAGGCATGAGGCTAGCAACCCCATCCTGTAAAAATAAACACTACTACAGACTTCAAGCCTCTAGCTTGAAGCCCTATGTTCCACTGGGAACGTGAAGGAATGAAAGAAAAATTAGTTTAACAGGCACATTAAAAAATAAGAGAAAGTACACGGGAATGATACTACGATGGAAATGACATGAGTGAGTTGAGTTACATGAATAAGAACCGACCAGTAAATGTCCGCAATTTCGAAAATGATGAGGAGTGAATATATGGCGTGTGCTACTACCGATAAGCCTTATAAGTAGTAATATAGACATTGACATGAAGCAACCAAAATTGAAATCAACATTTTAAGTCAATGGCTACAAAGGTAGGAGTGTTATTCCCTAAAAATCTGGATCTAGTTTACGATGTTAACATGAAATAACCTCGTTGGACAACTTTTCGTGTTACTGTTTAACTTTGGGCCAATAACCAACCAATTAAAACAATTTATTGTCCCCTGACCTAGCCGAATTTCAGTGTGGCTGAAAATGCATAAATATGATTCCTTTCCTTAATAAAGAACCGCAACCAGTTCTCGTCAGCCGTTACAAATATATTTGCAGTTTCACCATTGATTTCTAACATATTGAAGCACCCGGATAACAACGGCTTTATACTGGGAAAAAAAACTACACAAAATAGAGAATTTTCAACGAGTTCCGTTCCAAGTTATTCACTCCTTTGTAGAATCTGCGAATGATGTGATAATCGATAATACATCATCCGAAGCAATATTGTCCCATCCGAAGTACATTTCAATGCTACTCCACAGTGTTCTTTCCTCGATTTCTTTCGGAAAACTCTTCTCGGTAGACAGGAAGTTGTTTGAAGATTGTGAGCGAGTATAGATTGTGACTCATATTAGTAATCAGAAGAGTAGAACAATTTGAAATGGAGTAAAGACGATGAATTTTGATGGATTGAAAATTTAGGTAGCCCAGTGATTTAAGCAGGCCCTCACTACGTCTTAGGATAATAACAGAAGACAAGCAGGTGCCATGTCGACCCATTTTTTCACCAGCATAATTCTAATTTTAAGGGATATGTAGCTCAGCAGAGAAACAAACTGCTGGCAGTGCGATTCCATCAAGTCCCATAACTCACTGCCACTTAAAACATCACATGCGTCAATTAGAAATATCTTTTAAAATGATGAACGATGCAAGCATAACATGGCGATGAATTCCTGTTGTCAGATATTTTTTTACAAAAAACTACGGAATAGTCTGACAGAGAACTTACGCAAATTATTAGGAGACAATCCTTGTAATACACAATAAATTAGGAATGCACCTCTGTCTACCAGACGGAGAAGATCTTCTGTTTTTTCAGTTTCTGCTTGTTTGATAAGAGCACTGAGAAGCAGATTGATACCGTTGGATTCCATAAAAATTGAAGTGCCTGCTGCATAACCCCGTGTAAGACCTGTGAACAGCAGGTAAAGAATATAGAAGATTGTCACGGATTTTAAACACGAAATTACAAGAATTATGATATTGGACATCATTTATTACTTCACTGATTTGAGTGCTGGCAGCAATCTTTCCATTAGGGTTTTTGCAAATTCCAAAGGAGGTGGAGTGATAAACATGTTTAACCTTTTTACTCTTTATCCTTGAACTAACAGTATACTAGACATAAGACCTGACATCGCTCCTTAACAGTGGATGATGTCACAAGTAGAAGGTAACATAAAAAATACAAAAACTGGAACGACAACTACAAAGCATAAACGACTTCGTAGCGGTAACACTTTATGATATAGTCATCTTTTCTTTTGTTAATCTAACACTCACCAAAATAGCATATCAGGATGGATACGCGTAACAAATGTTAAAGATGCGTCAGCTCACAGAAGTGCGCAAGTTTGTCGACTAATGTATTTCTCAGACCAAAGAGCCTACGGCCAACCGCTTAAGTGCTTATGTTGTCCCACTGAACGAGGATAGTGTTATGACAGCAGCTGGATATTTATCAAGTATTGGTTTGCAAGGGTTTCATTGGTTACAGGACTGGTCAAGAGCTGACATCAACCGGACAACCATTGGAAAACTTGGGAACACTAGACGGCTATTTCGTCCTAAATCTGGACTCCTCAACGGTGCACGCTCACCATGGTTCGAACTCAGGAACTTCTGGCTACGAGGCGAGATTGTAGACTATTCAGATACCAGGACCCGACCCAATGGTCTATGAATCCCAACTTCTGTCAACTGGATATTCGAAGTCTCCGCAGATATAACAACTAAAATAGTAGAAGCACTGAGTCATTTTACCTCCCATAATTAAAATGTGGCATGGCTTCAGACCAGTATTGAAGTAGGATTAGACATCTTGATGGTACATATTGCTGACAGAATTTTATCACACCATAAGGAAGTGGACAAGTCATATTAGTGTGAATTAAAAACTAAGTGACAACGCGTTTTGAATAAATAGGAAAAACCCCATCGCTTAAATGATATAAAAATAAGATCTTTTTTTAGGGAAATATAATATCATGAGGACTGCCATTATTTAAAGCCAACAGCAATTAAGCAACAGACTGGAGAAGCATTTTTGATATCAGTGTCCTGTCCACTTAGATTACACTTAACATCATTGAGATTCAAATTGATTTGATTTTGAATTGCAATAATGAACTAGTGAGAAATCAACTCTGAGTTGTTTGACTCACTGTTCGCTCCCCACTTGATTTCATAAAAAATATTTTTTTCAAGTGAATTAGGTATCTCAGTCAAGAACTGATGGGTTTAGTACACACCTAACAAATTCTATCGCTCCTCACTCGCTAATTCGGCGTTATATTGATGTCATTCTAACGTTAACAAGGCCTACATGCACAGTATGTTATCGCCAAATTTTGAAAAGCATACATATTACTATTATAAACTTGTTAGTAACATTTCGTACTAGAGAGGAAGATGGTTAATGAGCAAAAATGAACTTACATGAAATAGCCAAAAACAAATACCTTAAGAATTCAAGATTATTTTCTTCTTCAACGAGTAAAATCAGCCGCGCTAAAACTCCGTTTTGAGTGTATATACTTTGAGCTTTAGGATTGTTTTGTGTGAGATTTGCAAGTAAGCGCAGTGCATCTGTCCTTAAAGATTGTGGTCCACAAAACAGCAATTTAAGTAGAACATCTTGACCTCCAATAACTGAAAAGTCATTTGAAAGGTCTAGGTCTTCAGTTAAGGTTAATAGATCTTCCATAATTTCCTTCATTTCATTTAAATCAGGCTCCGATGATGATAAAAGTGATGATAACCTCTGAACGTCTTCAGTTAATTGTTTACCTAAATCGACAGTATGTGCCGTCAGTGCTTCTTTTAACCATGCGGCATCCTATTTTGTACGGATCGACCATAAGAGAGAGAGAGCAGTATTACCTTAGGGTCTCTGACTTCTGTTGGTGCATCCTCAGAGTTTTCAACAGCAAGGCGAAGAAGACCTTGCAGATTCCGTGCCATCATTAAACTAAGACGGAAAGAAACACGAGTCAACAAGTCAATACAGATACTAGTAAAATAAATGAAACAATGTGATTTCTGTTCAAGTAAATATGTTTGTAACTTATTTGTAACTTTTAGAAAAGGATTACTAAAGATAAAACTTCTGCAGTTTGAATGTAATATACCCACTGAAATAGAGCTGACTTTAATATAACTGATTTAACATTGACTATTATTAAGAGGGACTGCGTATGAGAAAAATTAAGCCTTTAAAAATCACTGAAGTTATCAGCCCTCAGGCCGTCCAATTAGCATTATTTCAACTACTAAAATCAAGTTTCAGAAAACGATACTAGACGATCACTTTTGTTTTTAGGCCCTATTCAAATACACACCGTTACAAATGTTTGAATTTAACTATAATGATTTGTGAATCAGAAATGAATGCTGGGATCATACAATTAACAGCAACGATGATAATATCAATTGGCGGGTGGCAAAAGTAGTATTTATCAACAATAGCAGAAATCAAAATGAAAGCTCTACGATGATTTGAACATTTCAGTGTTCATATTAGGAAAATTACTGTAAGAAAAGAGTTGAGTGAAGTAACTGAATCGTCGAAGTCTAAATTAATACGACATATTTATGAAAGATGCGCGGAAAAGCGACTGAAGCACAGATAAAAAAAAATAAAACGAACTAATTTTGAACAAGGACATTGTTAACGTGAGTCACGACATATGCTGTTTAAAAGTAACCAGTGTTTACCGAGAATGTTACTTAACAAATATAGAGCGACTAAGCTCCCTATTGATTTGATGTATTTCAGAGCATGAAGCTAAGCACTCCGCTGTATGCAGCTTCATCAAGAGTTCTAAATGTACCTTAACTCACACAAATTTAATGTTTGAGTTGAACCGTACAAATAAATTCGGAAACCCGACATCGATTATGAATGACCTGGACCAACCAAACAAAGGTATCCTGCTAATAATTGATCACGGGTTACTCGTAGCAACCCGTGGAGGATAGTACATCAGAGAGAGGAGATTCCAGCGTGCTCTTACTTCTTTTCGTTCCGAGTTTGCCTACCCAAGAACTCAAGCAGTAGCTGTGGCTACTGTAACGTCTATGGAAAGCTTTACGCGGAGGCTACGTCATCTTGCAGCGACACAAGGACTATGTCCAAATGGTAGATTCCCTTAAAGTAAACACCACACTATTAACTGACATGCATCTAAACTCATCCTTCACCTCTGCTTATTCTCAATCTACTGACTACTCTACCTATTCACTCACTTATTTCATTACTATTATCTTTAATTATTTCTATTTACTTTTTTCAACTATCAAGTTTCTTTACCTATCTGTTTGTACGTTTTACTTTTTAGGTCTATATAACCTACACTAATTAGGATATTGCTTCGACCAAACCTTAAGACTAACACGTGTACGCATCAATTCCATTCACATCAGGGACGCGGTCTTAACACACCGCATACTACAAACTACATATAACTAATCTCTTCATCACTCCTCTTAGAGTCAATGAAAACTACAATAGACAAGTGGCGGGATATACTACGGAGAAGTTCAACGGAGTTCAGGAATCTCCAACTTAAAACCAAGGGACAAGTGGAAGGAATTATTTCTGATTTACACTTTCTCATCGAAACGATTTCAAATATTGCATTAAAGGATTTTTAAGGGACTTATAGGAAATGCTAATGGATGAAAGGTCAGATAAAGTCAGCAAACTTTAACATTTCTGAATGAAACAAGGAACGCTGACAAAAATTTCAGGTCGTTTTTTGCGTGTATTAAGGTTAAATTCGGTATTAATATCATAAGTAAATTCGAGAAAAAGATACTGAGTTTTGGTAAGAACCACATGTCACACATAGTCTAGTTGGGTAGATTTTCCGATATACAAGGCTAGTGTTAAAGTTGAATTTACAAAGGAATTATAGTCCGATTTTAACTGATGGGCAGACGAAGAAAACAAGAAAATGTGACATGACCATAGCTATGCTATAGTATTCGAGTGCTCCACATTTTGACTCCAGCTTCTTTATCAATACTATGTTGGTAATTTACTGTTTGTTCGGTCAAGTCAGTCACGAATAAAAAGCAAGACGTTGTGCATGACATGCATGTCAGCCAGACAAAAACTACCCAGCAGGAGAATTTTTGGATCAGAGATATGTGGGCAAAGATGTTGGCAGTTTTCTGTTGCAACATGGGTACAGTGGGAAAAACTTATAGGGAAATAGCACACAGGGAAAAAGTGGTCATTGCGGGTAAAGTGGGTTAATTATGTGGCGATTAACCCTTTTTTCCCATGTCTCTGTCGATCAAAGTTCCATGTTTCGCCCACATTGCCCATGTGCATTCTATTCAGCTACAGATGAAGAGGCTTTGATTTATTGGATTTAGATACCTAAAATACACTATTCAATGACCGCAGAATGCAATATCGCATATTCACAACTATGAACAAAATTATTGATCACATATATTTAGGACAGCAAAGATGTCGTCTTACTAGTACTGTCAACACTACAACCACTCACATTTTTGGAAAGGGCGCGTATGTGTCAAGGATAAATGTGTGGTCCAGATTGAGACTAATTTCAATATTTAAAACATTCTGAACACTGTTGAGTTATTGTTGCCCAGGCACATTATCGTGTAAGTTCCAACATTATTTCGACTCATTTTCTTATAACAGAGTGATGAAATGTATCGTAGTAATTAGTTCTCGGAAAGTACTGGTGATATGACTGATGGTAATGTGTCCAGACGGGTCTCAAGAAGGCTTGCGGAGAACGTCATCTAATTTGATGAAAACGCGAACTACTATTGGCAGTCATACGTGCTCTTTTCCTGCAGATATATTCTCCTCCACAAGACACCTAAAGTAAACATACTTTGGAGAAATGATCTCTCGGATCGGCAGCGTTTTCACTAACTCTTCCCCAACGCCATGGTAGGCAACCATTCGACCGTGCACATGCTTGCACGAATACGAGTAGTTGTCGGACAACGGAAATTTGACAAATGACTCATTAGGGAGTTGTTCTTATCTAAGTTTTCATGGTCAGTGTAGGCTGAGCTTCTGGCACTACTAGGGGTCACCATCGATGACTAAGCTGTTTTGGAAAGTAGACTCCTGTAAATATCTCGGTGACCAGTCACTGAAGTGTGTTGGATCAATAAACAATCTCTGAGTAGTGACTGTGAAACGATAAAGTTATTTAAATCTTGTAGTGTTTCTAAAAACCATTCAATTTTAGAAATGATTCAAACACTGTGGAAAACCACTTGTCAGACACACCCTTGCAACAACCGCAGCCAGAGGAATTAGCCGTCTAATTTACACCCAAGCCTAAAACTTGTTTCAAATGGGTGCCGAGGTCAGCAGTCTTCCAACAACAGATGTGAATAACCACAAGGAACCTGCTTTCAGCTCACTGGATATAGATGGAAGACCCATTGCAAATTTCCGTGAGAAATACGTCCATCTGTATGTAGGTCCACGCTAACCATCCAGTGAATTTCCCCTCTTACTGAAATTACTAAGCCCAACATAGGCAGGGATCTACTTAATTACCATGACCTACTCGTAGATGTCCGCCAACGACTGATATGCGGTAATCCCAGGCTGTCTTATGTAGGAATCACATAAGTAGATCAAATCTTATCATTTATTAAGAAGGCAATAGGTGATTCAACTTTTTAGCTGACTGCTGACAATCACCCAAGGCTTAACTGCCTTCCAGATGATTTGCCGTATATAATCAATAATGTTGAAAAACACATTCGACTATATGTTCATCATGGCATTGTTCAACTGTCCAATAGCCAGTAGGTACCCTCACTCTATAGAGTATCAAGGAAAGATAGCAACGACTGGTGACCCACTGACAATTACAGAAGACTGAAAACCGAAACTATCCCAAGCTATCCATCGCCGCATATACATGAATTGGCGGCAACATTATTTGGCGAGATTATTTTTTTAATATACTTAGTTCCTATGGCACCAGAAGACGTTCTGAAAGTAGCTATCACTAAGCCTTTTAGGCTGTTCGAATTCCTACGCATGCCATTTGGTTCGATGTATGAAACCCATATAATGCAACGCTTCACCGAAAAAGCATCGTTCTTTCTCGACTTTTTGTACACATACACAGAAGACTACGTCATAGCGAATCAGAATAAAATTTTACCTGAGGTTTCCACTTATTCCCGAAAACGTCAGATAGGGGTGGAATCACTATACTTTCTTGGCTGGGCTATTGACCGCAAGAGTATCTTCCCGCTAATCTGAAAGGTTGAAACAATTTCAAACTTTGCAGGGACTGGGACTTTGAAAAATCTCCTCACTTTTAATGGCTTGGTATGTTATTACCACCGTCTTATTTCTGGCTGTACCTCCTTAATTTAGCTACCGACAGACCTTATACCTTAGCGCGTCAGGGAAAAATGTTTCCGTTCAGGTGAAAAAACATCAAGGATCGCAGACTACCTATATAAGGATCCAAAGGTACTCCTAAGTACCTCGGTTGATGCATCAGTCACCGCAGTTGGGGTAGTTCCGCGAGAACTGATCAGATAGGAGTGACCTTTTTCTCGAGGAAGATACGAACACCAGAAACAACACACAGCACATTCGGCAGAGAACTTCTGGCCATGCGCCGTGTTATACTACACTTCCGGCGGTGAGTGGAGGGTCGTGAATTCATAACTTTTACAGACCATTCACTTACCCCCTGGACTCAATTTCAGACAGGTATTCAACAAAAGTCACATCAGGCTCATCAGCTTAAGAGATGAAAGGTATGACGTTTACACGATATGTACAATGCAAGTTCTTATACCTAAAATACTTGTCTTTGGTCTACGCATAACGAATACTGTGGGAGGTGAGGATATAAGAACTAGCGTTGTACACATTCACTCAAAGTAAACGTCATCCCCACCATCTGATGGATCTCGAAAGTCGACAACTGGAAAATACAGGAAGAGTGAAGTAGCGATACATGGAGCAGGCGAAAAAGGAAGGGGGAGACTGAAAATGTAATCGAAAAATATAGGGCACGCCGTATTACATCTGCTCTATTTTACGAAGCGGCGTAAATCCTCAAATGCTGTCGTGCACACCATGACAAAAGCTTTGCCATTTGTAAAAGGAGTGTCAGTGACATCATGAATTGGTTTCAACAGCAGTTCTGTTGAACATGACTATTAGAATTTCCAGTTGAATTAAACCAGAGAGGAACACAAAAATGATGGATCTGCCTTCGTTTACTCCACTACTTGTTATACAAACGGAAATATGCTTGAAATTAAGATCACTTTCTGTGTCAGTGGTGGTATCAGAGAAATTTGCCGTAACCAGAAGACAACGTATTTAATAACCAACTAGATTTCAGAGAAAGCGGTATAAAAAACAGATGGTAAGTCAAAGATTTATTAGTAGTTCAAGTATAATCAAGAAATCAAGCTGATTGCACAGCAGACTGATCATGCGATTCAAAAATGATTACTATTGTTACACTAAAAAGTCTACAAATAACGTCAGTAGAATATACCTTAATACCTCTGATTGTATTACCCGATCTTCTATCAACGGGCAAATATCTAAGCTACAAAAGCAAGTGTCACCTCCAAAATTAGTTTGAATAAACAAATCCACTTAATGTTCAACAACATTTACATTAGGTGAAACGGATTACCTATTTAAAAGCAATCATGGGTATTTTTGTGCACGGATTAGACAAAAGACCCATTAATGATCATAGCTGAAACAGTGCACTCAGGAGTCTGCATGGTAAGAATGTATAAATTTTTACCAAAAAATAAGAGTAAGCTATTTGTATGAAAATGCCAAAACGAATCTGTTGTACCGAGTTTTATTGGATAGTATAAAACGAGGAGTTGACTAGAAATCGAAGCAGAAATTTTGCGCTAACACGAAATTTGGATCAACCAATCAACAATTCATTTGTTGCGTGAGTTATTTCACTAATCTAGAGTACAGGTATTGCCCATTACTTCTTCACGTTTATCAATGTGCATAGACGTTGTGGCTACTCGACGCCCACAACGTAAAACCAAAAGGCACTTGTGAAGAATACGATCATGTATTATAGCAGTAGTCAAATTTTGAAAATTGTGTCAGGGTAATATTCAGCAGTAAATTGACAAATGTTTGCGAAGTATATATAAAATCGGTCTGTGTAAACATATAATATTAGTATACAGATTAGATTAAAAGCGTGTTTACAGTCGGTATAGGGGTACTACACATTTACGTAAAAGTGATATGAAGATAAATCATGTGAGTTATGAGCACAAATAAAATACGATGGCAACTACAGATTCATACTATATTACCAGATCACTTCTGGTTCCTACAGTATTTTTTAATAAGCATGTAATGTGTTCAGTTCAGTGCATTGGTTGAACTGGACAGAAATTAGAAGAAAAAGTCAATGTATAAATAAGCAATCCAACTTTCCATCACCGGTTTAATTTAACCCACCTCATTACAATATATCTTGACGTGGTATACTTTTGCTTCAGTTAAGACAGGCAGTTATGCTGCTCATGCACAAATTTCCTTGATGATGTGAACAATTAATTTTCAATGACCTGAAAAAATATACTTCATATGTGAAAGTTTAATGACTGCGTAACTGATATGCGACACGATCTGAAATAATAGACGGGATCTGTAGCGTAGACTATAATTCATGGTGCTGTTATGTTTTTTAGATGGGTTGTATTTGTTAGTCTGTTTGTTTCTTTGCGTCTCCAGCGTATCATGGTGTAGGTACGTATTTATGCAAGTATGCAGCTATGTGTAGGTTTCTGCTACCAAATCCACAGCGATATTTTGCAATCGAACTAGCGATTAATTAAGCTAAACGTTTGAGTTACGCGCAAAAATCCAAAACACAGTAGTATATTACGTATAAAAAATATATAGAATTAATAAATTGTAAAATATCAAGCTGAATACCATCAAGAAACAGTGTGGCTATGCGTGAATAACGATAAACAGCAGAGCTGTGCCAAAAGTGCTCCTCGGGTGGTAAATAATGACACACCAACGTAATGATCAAGAATAAGAGGATTCGAATAAATACTGTTCATTGGAGATTCGCACATAAAGATGATGTGTACAGTCGATACCATTTAATCATTAGAAGATAATTGCTATAGTACGAACAGAATGTTGAAGCTTGGAAGAAAATCAGTAATCATGGTTACACAGTAACGAGTTGGTAAGTAAGGTGTAAACTTATACTACCTATTATTAATGAGTACTATTAAACTGAAGACGAATGAAGCAGTGATATAGGACAGATAAAAAAGAAACTGACAGTGTGCATGTGTTAGGTCTTATCGCCCCTTTCTCATATTAACTTTTCACGTCTTTATTATCACATATAATTACCATCAGGTATTAGTTAGAAGAAACATTTTCGTATATGCTTGTTTTCATTAACATCAGTGTGCTCTACATGTTCATTTCCATGAATATTATTATACGTGAACTAATAAAGACTATATAA